GTATGGTTGCTACTGTGCAAATGCGCTGCAGCATGGCCGGCAAAGCAGAACATTTGTTTTTACAGAATGTTAGAGCTTTCAGATTTTGCCAGAAAAAGTTGCACAAGTGTATTTTTTGCACATTGAAGAATCCAAACCTGTCGTAAACCAGGGAGTAGCCATATGTCTGGAGAATTGAAGTTTATTTCTTGTGGGCAGGTACCAGACATTTAGCCAGCTTGTGAAACTGTGGACTGACACAGTTTTATAGGCTGGACTGATGCCAAGATTAGGCCCAGCCAATACATGACAAGTGACAGGTGTGACACACATGAGCATGTAGGGATAAACAAAAATAGGCAGAACAGAACATTCTAGGTACAATCACAGCACATGCACCCACAATATATACTGAATATAGTAACATATAACACAGTATTAAACACATTACACAGCAGTACATTCCTTCAGTATGATTAAGAACTGAAGGAGCCGTTGGCCTTTTATGTTGAGAATGTTATCTTCTGTTTGCTGGGATTTTTGTGGCATGTAAGAACATGTGCATCACAGTAAAATACCCTAAGAAAAAAAGACTTTTCGGGGAGAAGGAATGTTCTTAACTTTGAATGTTAGTTAATCTAACAAGATTGGGCCTCATTCTCAAACCGTTCCTAAATACACAGTTTTCACAAAGATTCTGACATTCATCAATATTTTCTTATTTGGGATTAGTTCTTAGGTAAGAACAGAATCAAGAGCGCAAAGGTGCGAACAGTTCTGTGGTTTAAGAACACATCATGAATCTGACGTAGAAATTTTCTTAGGACTTTTCTCAAGAACAAATTTAAGAAGAAACTTAGGAAGATATTGGTGAATGTTTTCCAAGCCGTTTTGGAGCATTTGTGTTGCTTCATTTATTATGAAATTGTAAAACATTTTGAGAGGCAGCTGGCATTTTTAAATCCTGAAAAAAAACAAAAATTGGCATACAAGGTCTTCTTCAGACAGTGACGATAAGTCTCTAATTTTCTCCTTACTGTTGTTGTGAGCATTTGGCAGCCCAAGAAAAAACTAGATTGCCTTTGCCGAGCACATAGTGACATTCACACTTCATCGTGCACTTTTTGGCAAGCACACAATCTACTCTGACATTCTGACACTTGCAACTCCTTTCACACTTCCACACCACATGAACTGCTCCTGCATTTTGTAAGTCTTTCGAGCTGCATGATTTCTTCAAAACAACCTCAAGTCCTAATCACACCGCTTAGCCAGCCGTGTTATACTACTTCACTTTCTCTGAAACTCATGACATCCACATGAGCAGTACGCATGTTGAAATACAGTGATTCCCAAATTTTTTTTCATTAAGGCTTATTACGCAACATGAATGACGAGTCTAGTTTTTTTTCTGTCACAGAAGCTCATGAACTTTGGAAACCAGGCCAACACTGCAGCTCTAAGCCTTTGAAATCAGAAGCAAACATGTCCAGTCATAAAGTATTTTATAGGCCCAATGGCCTTAGCTTGAAATAAAAGAAATATGCTCACATTCATACTACAAAGCTTTTTTTTTTTTTTCCTTTCCATTCTCCTGCTTTGCACCTAAGCGACTTGCAAAACTCAGCCAACGTGAGTGGAATTTGCTGTCTTGTGTTGGGCTGGTTACCATGCTTACCGCTTGAAAAGGCTAACATTTTGGAACACCCTGGCTTCAACGTTTCAGCCAGAGCATACATCAAGAGTGCACGCGGAGTGCCTTAAGCTCAGCACTCTGAATGTCTGAACCTGTATTCTGACAGTGCTCTGAATTTACAGATGAACAGAGTGTGCTTTGGCACTCTGAGAGCAAATTTACAAACACATGTCAGCTACAAGGACTTGAATCAGTACATATCATCCAGTGTAGGGAGTGAGTTATTGTACAAGATAATGTGTATTATATTGTAACAGCTGCCAACCTCTGCTATGTCCAGATATTTATCGTTATGATGATAAATTGTCAACGTTGTGTCATGATTCCCTTTTTTTGTGCAAATCGTGTATATTGTCAGTACTTCAAGAACACTGTGAAACTCCATGTTTCATCACAAAAAGAGCACCTTTAGGCCTGGTTAAATGGATTTACTGTGGCGCAGTATGTTTAACTTTGAATAAAAATTATTGTATTTGTGGTCTTTTTTTTTACCCAATCTATCAGACCTCAGAAGCTAAATCCTGTCATGCATATTGTGCAAATGTCTAAGTATTGTGCCATATGCTTTAATGTCTACTCAGTATTTTACGCAAGTTGGTAATTTTTCTGACCAGTGCTCCCATGGCATTTATGAAAAGAGCCAGGCTAGCACGTTCAAAAAGCTGCTTTGGAAACAAATGAAAGACAAAGTTGCTTTATGACTCTCATATAATACTTGCTATCCATCTTTGTGGATCTTTCTCAGTGACAGGTATTTTCTAAAGTTTGGATGTCAATGTGGCATTACTGTGGTGAATTTTCCACAACTCACTGACCCTTCTCTATCTCACAGAGAGAGAAGAAACTGAGCTTGCTGAAACAGGCGGCTGAGAAACACCAGCAGTTGTACCGTCTAGCTATGACTGGGAAAGGCATCGACCGTCATCTCTTCTGCCTCTATGTGGTGTCAAAGTACTTGGGACAGGACTCCCCCTTCCTTCAAGAGGTAGGATGAAACCAAAGGTGACCAGATGTGATTCCAGGAAGTAGGAATGCAGTGTTATCGGGATTGTGGGTCAATGCCCATAGGCAACATGTAGAAACTGGGAATAAATTTACTTGGATTAACATTAGAGAAATAGCACTTTTATTTTTATTAGGTTATAAACACAGTAAAATTAATAAAATGCAAACATTTTAGCGAAGTAGCCTAGCATCAACTAAATGCTCTGCTTTTACCAGAGAACAATCAATACATCATCAAAAATCAGTTTAAAAATCTGTCCCCTGGCAATTATTTTATTAAAAGCAATTATTTGCTGATACCAATATGATTCCAATATCATCATGTGTCCCTACCTGAAAGGTTAGTCAGGGGATGTTATGCTTTGTCTTATCTAAATATGCTCAGGTTGAGTAATGATAATCTGCTGTTACATACAGAACATGTTGCATTATTATGATTATTATGATTACTATTATTACCTTTTGGTAGTATTAGCAATGCCTATATTATCACAAAAATCCTTTTGTTCCAGACCTGTACTATTTTCTGTGTCAGTATAATACATAGTAGATAAAGGTGATGTAAGGTAGTAATAGACTTAATAAAACAGCAGTATTTTTTTCCAGTGACTTGTCTATGTTCACATATGTGCAGGTGCTTTCAGAGCCATGGAGGCTATCCACCAGTCAGACTCCCATGCAGCAGGTGGAGCTTTTTGATCTGGTGAAGCATCCTGAGTATGCTACCAGTGGTGGAGGCTTTGGTCCGGTAAGTTCCATATGAATAACAAACTTCTATCAAACTGTGTCAATTTCTAATTACCTTGCATATAGCAAAGTGAGTGTGTTTTAGGTCCCCAACCAATAAAATACACGTAAATTGATTGCCTGTTTGTCTGACATTGTGTCGTTGTCTTAGTGTTATCTGTGTTTAGTAAAAAAAAACTCCACAATGAAATCTGTTTGGAACAAATAAATCAAACATAGGGCATTGCCAATTCTCCTGAAACCCATGGAAATCATGTTCACAGAATTCTGGATGGTTTTGTTTTGCTGTGACAGGTGGCTGATGACGGTTATGGTGTGGCCTACATTATTCTGGGTGAGAACCTCATTAACTTCCACATCTCCTGCAAGCATTCCAGCCCAGAAACAGTAAGTACAAAACCAGAGGTTTTGTTTTACATATAATGCACTCTTTATTGAGTATACTGATGGTGTCAGAAGTGAATCTCGGAATCTTTGGCTGGCTGTTTGAAAATCTCTTTCATGTCTCTCTTTTTTTTTTTCCCTCTCTTCAGGACTCTCATCGCTTTGGCAACCACATCAGACAGGCAATGCATGACATGTTGGGTTTGTTTCAGCTGGAACCACAGGCTCTGAAGTGAAAAGGCAAATGCTTTACATTCTTCATTTAATTTTGGTCTGTTGCTTTTTTGAACATGATACGAGTAATTCTAAGTTGAAGGATTTGAAATTTTTGATGATGGATGCGTCTGAAAGAATGAGGGAGACTGTGTGTGTGTGCGAGTGTGTGTGTGTGTGTGTGTTTACGAGAGTTCTGAGAACTGATTCAAAAACAGGGATGTTAAATACACAGGTGCCTTGATGAGAGTCTTAACTGAAAGTGGAAAGAGAGGGAAAAGTAAGGACCAAGCATTAGGCAGTTAAAATGAAGCAAATCACCTAAAGCATTTAGACGTGTTACTCTCGGTATTTAGTTGTATATACTTAGCTTTGAGAGATACTGCATATCCTCAAACCCCACTTAACAGTCTGTTGACAACTTATATTTCAGTGGGAAAGAACCTCTTGACCATAGGTGAGTGAGGAAGTAGTTTATTTACATTACCTAAGCTCTGCATAGCTACACAGTCTTAATGTGGTTGATGCCATCACTGTGGTAAAGCTGTTTTGAAGTGTTACCAAGCGCTGATATTGTGATTTCAGTAGAAATCTTGCTAGCCTTACTGGCTTTCCAACTCACAGCATTGCTGTTGCTGTGCTGCACTCATTTCACAGTACAGGGTCATTACAGAAAGCCAGTGGTGAGTGGTTTAGTGTACAGTGCTATAAACGATAAAGTATTTTAATTTTTTTGACCAAAAAATTAGGGTAACATAGGTTTTTGATTAATTTTTTTTGTTAAGCCTTGCCATAAGAAATTACCACAGTATTGCTTACAAACCACAGCGAAAATTAATAATAGGGAATATTTTGGAATTTGTCCTGGTCCCTGACCTGTTCACCGCACATAATGTCAGTGTACATTTCTTTTTATTTTATTGCACTTAATTTTTCTTTTGTAAAAAGAAAAAAAATGAAATTTGAAAACATTGAATGCAGTCACATTATTTATTGTCTATTCCTTTCATGCAGTTTATTGTATGTGTGCTTGATGTCAATATGAAGATTATGTACAATTGTGAATGAACATAATGCTCATACACCAAAATTAAACTGAATGTGAAACATTTGTCTCTTTGTATAGCAAAACAATGTGAAATATTCACAGCTTTTTCAGAATAAAAATACATACCATGTATTTACTGTATCCCACAACAAATTAGTATTAAAAAAAAACACAAGAATCACATTGTGTTATTGACAAGACCAGTCTTTAAGAAAGTGCATCTTGTGCATGGAAGAAGTGTATGGAGCCGCTTGGGCTTCAAGACCGTATCCGTAGGAAGACGGCTACCTTTTCCAGTCCGACAGAATAACTATGTAGTAGAGTCCCTCCATCAAAAACTTGGCCATTCCACCGATCTCTCCACTGAATTCCATCTCCTGGTAAGTAAATGTTCCTTTTAACTTTTCCCTGATCAGTTACAGGTGCTACCAGGACCTAGATGCATTTTAAGAAAGATGGCGTTAGGAAGAACTTGCGTTTGAGAGGAAAACCACACCTTGCGTGTCTAATTTCATATCTAATTTCAGTCTACCTCCTGTTTCCTGTGACAGTTTTCATGCCCTACCAGCCCACATCCTCCTTGTTTTTCAGTTCTGGACTAGTAAAAGGGTTCAAAACTGTACCTTTCAGAGTTCAAACCTCTACTAGGGTGGTACCTTCAAGGGTTACAATATTGACTCTATACACCTTGTATTGCTCCAAGCTTTCTTGTTTATTTTCTACTTAAAAAAAAGTCTGTTCATGATTATGAAAAGATACATTTATGCACCTTTCCTTTGGAAACCCACTTAAGGTACACAACTGGATCTTAAGGACTGTTGTTATATCTTGGGTGACCAAAACGCACTCACGCTTCACCCTTCTTTCGTGCTGTTAACGTCTAAGTCCTACCCCTGTTCCTCGAAGTGGGGTCCACCTGTTAGCTTGAAGCAGAAGCCCCCTAGACTCCAGACTCTTGACTAAATCTACCCTATTGTGTGGTACCATGCTCATGTTTCCTTTCAGATGCATGAAGCCTGCCACTGAACCTTTCCAAACAGCTGCTCACACATTATAGGGAAGATAAACACTAATGGATTAGAGCACTGACTGCCCAAGTTCTATGTACAGGAGTCTGTAGATGCCCATGATTTGACAGTACCAATGTAGGCTAACATGAAGAAAAACTAAACGATCCTTTCCACCCAGAAAGCAGGGTTGTGCCATGGCAATGGTATCAGCACTCAAACCGAGGTCTTAATGATGGGTCTTAGGGACTTGAATGATGCCAGTCTGGAATCATTCAAAATGTTTTTTTAAATTGAACTTCCTAATATCTGTTGCATACCTCAGATCCAATGAGGAATTCATCATCAATAGTAAACGTAAAGGGGTCCTCTGGACTGATCCACCACAGCGGCCTGTAGATTGGATTTGTTGTTTGCCTCCATTCATGAGCGTACTTCAGTAGGAGAGGAACCACAAAGTCATGGTGCAGTGACAGATAGGACTTAGTGAGGTTCAGAACCTAAGGCAGAGGAGTGAGAAGACTGGTTGTCTGCCAAGAAAAATAATATTGGACAGAAAAATGGGTATTTGAAATGTTTGCTAGTGGCATACCAAAATTCGATTAGGTTTTCTGCCTTTGTTTTGTCTTTGGTTTGTTATATACACACCCAGTATTTGCTAAAACTCCATGGAGGTGTCTGGAAGGAGATAACTGGGAGAAATGAGACAATTTCTAGCCAACGGATAAAGAGCTCTTCATCACTAAACATGTGATCAACCAGTGAGCCACCTGTATACAGAAAATAGATCAGATGTAAAATAAATAAATAAATATGAATCTAACTAGTAAGAATGTAAATATCTAAGAATCTGAGACTTGCCAATGGCATCAGAAATGAAGAAGTTATATCCTAGAATACTGTAGTGCAAGATAGATGGAATGATGCCCTTAATTCCTGTGTAGCCCCAGCTGCCTTGCAGTGGTGACATCATTATGAACAATGGTACATCACTGGTCCTGACAAGGCAGAAATATACATTATCAGTTACTAAGTTTCAAAAGTCAAAAAGTTTGTTAAAGAGATCTCAAGTTTCTTTGTACCTTGACCCTGAGGTCACTATAGCTGTCCTTCCAACCCTCATAGCAAGGCCAGCCAAGAGCGTGATGTACTCTTGACTGACCTGAACCTCTGGAAGGCCACCAGAGAGGCTCCCTTCCCCTCCCTCCAGAATGACGTACTCTGCGTCCAGCTGGGCAGACCAGTTGCCCGCTCGCTCCAAGAACCACCTGACTGCTGCTGGGTTGGAGATGTTCAGCTTCACACAGATATCTCCTTTCCATGGGTTCATTAAAGGAACCTGTGGCAAAAGGCCAGCAGACAGCAGACCTGGCTCAAATGGATGCAGCCAAAAGAAGTAAATGATTGACAGTGTACAGTACATTTCATTGTTAGACATGTATATAATGTTACAGAGTTATATATTTCCAGCTGTATGCACAATATGTCAGGTACTAGTGGCTAGCAAAGGCCAAAAACTGGGTAAACTTGCTGATCCAGTTTGTCCAAAAATAATAAGAAATTATGTAATATGACCACCTTCATTTTTATCCTCTTACCACATGTCCCTGTGTGGTAGTCAGCCGGCTGAGCCAGAAGGCCTCTTTTCCTTCCTGAAGAGACATCTGAAACTGCTGGTTATTGACGCTGACGTATGGCGTAAAAGTGACAGAAATGTTGAGGTGTCTGACCAGTGGAAGGTTCCTGTTCCTTCCATGGGAATAACTGTGGCCCTGATTAAAAAGATGTTTAGGTTGTTATTTATAGCTGTGTTTACATGCATTTATTTAAAGTTATTTAAATGTGCAATTACGATAGTCTCAAAAGAATCTACCCTCAAGAAGCTAGAATTAAAACAATTGACTAATTTTCTAGACACTAATAATAACCGAGTTTGGCTCAGACAGTCCAGGACTATTAGAAATGTGGATGAGAGGTTGTGGAGACGGCATCTAGAACTGATCGTGTGGATGAAAGCTGTATAGTAGCTGCCCAAGTCTGGCTGGCGTGCTGACCAGAGGAAGATTCACAGGGTCAACGTGAAGCAATGTGAGGCCCGGAATGAGGTGGGCCTTTGGTATTTCTAGAAGCAGAGCCACAACTTCCCACCCTCCTCAATGCTCACATGGTCTAACTAAAACCATCACTTTGCCTTATTCTTACAAATAGAATTTTCATTTACTTTAACCTCTTAATAATAAACATTTGGCTTATTATTCAGTTATTAATCCTAAGGCTTATTATGCAGTAATTACTGTGATGCTAATATGCAAGTTATGTAGTTACAAGGCCTGTCATGATCATTTAATTGTTATTTTTTGTTAATTGTAAGAAATCAAAGTACAAGCCTGAAGTGGCCAAACTGGCAGATTAGCTATCTTGCACTCTAGCTGCCAATGCATAGTAGCTGTTAAATAACAACAGACACAGCTTAAGCTAAATAAATAAACAGTACTCCCTGCTGCCCTCTAAATTATTTGCGTAACCAGTGTTTTTCATTTTTTAGAAGGCAAAAAATGGGCTTATTAAGTGAATAATAAGACTAAAGAGTCTTTCAAAGAATCCAAAATACTTAAAAACATGTAAAAGAGGCCTTTGTAAATACTGCATCTAAAAACTGTATTTGGCAGAAAATGAATAGAACTTTGTGTCCATCAGGCTTTGTTTCTTACTGTAAGAGACCAGTAGGAGATGTCTGAAATGTAGATTATCAGGGTAATTACAGGTATCAACAAATTCAATTTAACATTTTCTAAGTCTTTTTAATGCCACATTTTGAGAAATTTGGAGAAATGTTTAATGCTTTAAAGCCTGCAGTTTTGTACGTTAACATCCCACACAGGATTTAGTTCTACTTAAACAGAGACATCTGAAGCACTGAATGAAGACATTCAAGTAGCATATCCTTTACTTTTAGTATTACAGTTTTGCTTCAGTAAAGCCTAACTGAATATTACTGGAGAGGATTTTACTTCATATACAAATATTGTAATGACAAAAATTAGATTTTACTTCATATACATAAAATTTGTAATGACAAACATACACTGTTTATTATACAAATTGCAAACAAGAAACGCATGAATTTTAATTGACTTTAATCAAGTAATCGTGATAGCCCTAAACTTTTCCAGAGATAACCAGATAAGTAAACCCTTAACTCTTAAAGTCACTGCGCTCATTGAAATTTACAGACCGTTTTCAGTAGCAAAGAGGTGGAATGTTCATCAAGGCTGATAATGCCCTCATTAAGCTGGTGCCTCTTCAGCCGGTTGGCAAACGTCCTCAGCTCTTTCTCCAGCTTCGCGCCAGAGTCTGTGTTCACCACCAGCTTCCATAGAGGTGACCTAAAATGATCATCCAAGTCAAAACATGCCAAAAGACCTGTGTCTGAATCAAGTTTGACTCACCACTAAAAGACAGTGAAGAACGCATGGTACTGACATTTTTTTCACATCGTAGTACGATTCTGAATGAAAACAAATGTTATGTCAATGAAAATATCTGCATGGCAGCTTTATTGGTAGCACACGTCTCTAGTTTCAGAAAGTGTCCCAGTCTCTAAACATGTATCAGATACGCAGCACATGAAGAGACTGTGAACAGCTGGTCTGGGATATTAGATATCAGAAATCAAGAGTAACATAGCTCATGTCTGTGTAGTGCAACTATAAGTAAAGTAGTGTCAAAATAAACCAGTTTATCTGAATTTGACATAGAAACCAGTGGTGGCTCTGAATGAATTTCCTACAAAATAAGACTAGCTTGTGCACTAGAGAAACATCTTTCTAAAAAGATATTCTTATATTGGCATGTTTGTTACCTTAAGATGCCCAGGTCAGGCAGCTGTGGTGAGTGGAGCCTGCGTTCGTGTGCTATTTTCTGATGAACAGTTCTGAGATTGCGACCCACGCAAACTCTGTACTGTAGAGGCTGTGTGACCCGTATTTGCTGTGGCTGGACACACAGCTTCAGATTACTGTCGATACCAACATTCAGGGGCACATCTGGAGAAAGCAGCACTGCAACACCTGTCAGGAGAAACCATGTAAAGTACCAGGCTCACAATACTCACTGACCTATAGCATAGCCTATTTTTAAATCAGACTAATTCTACAGAATGATATTTCAGACGCTTAAAGAAATTCCTGATTTTGAGCATAATGCAATCATTAAGATGTAAGCCAAGTCATTCAGACTGTTTTGATCTGAAATGGTTCATAGTAGAGATTTTTACTAAGTCAGAATTATTCACAATGGTGGTGATAGGAAACAGACATCTGAAGAGTTTAATGCCTCTAAAAGCTCAAAGTTATTACATTAAATTGTTAGAAATACACTGCATGGTGTCTAAGACAATGTTTTACAGTAGTTCTGAGATCAGATTTTGGCCTCACATATAATTTTAAAACTCATGCAAGTGGAGAGTTACATGTAGGGTGCTGTAAGGCAAAATAGTCCAAAAAGAAAAAACATTTTTTTTTGCAGATTTACAACTGCTTTACCATTATTAACATTATATGTAAAATCTCAGCAGATGTGTATGTTTCAATGGTGAATTTGTATAGTAAACAAAATAGTTACACACATTATGAACACTGGTTCCTGTCTCCACCACTGTAAAGAATCACAGAGTCAGTAAATTTCTCTACAGTGAACCATTTCACATCAAGCCCCTCTTATTGATTTTGTTTCAACTGTTGAATTATGCAGAAATTTTGCAAAATCTGTGGAATTCCCCTTTAAGCCAAGTAAGCTGAATTTCAGTTAAGTAAGTGAGGGATTCCATTGAAAGTGCTTGACTGTGTGCAGAACAATTAAGCAATTTGTTTTCTTGAGTTGTGGAGACACTGAGATAAAAAATCTGTTTTCCCAATATAATAACAATTCGAAAAACTTTCGAAAAGACGAATGTGCAGAGGTCTACTGATATCTATTGATATTTACCAGTACTTAATGCTTAACAAGCCATAAGCCAACTGATAGAAGGCTACCCTGAACACTGCCTTGACATACAAATTTTTATATTTTTCTAATGTTCTTTTATACTGTTCTTTTCTAGATTTCTATTAAATTAATTGTGGCCTTAGGCTTAGGCTAATGAATGTCAACTATCTTGTTATCTCAGAAAAACAGCATTTAACTTTTTCCAGATGTCAAACTAATCGTCATTATTTAGGAAAAACTATGTTTTATTATCTCAAGATGTTCACAAAATCATCGCAGGAAAACAACATTTTTTTATCTTGTGACAATGACAACTTGAAATCACAAGAAAGTGAATTAATTAACGTTCTCTTGAGAAAACAAATATGTTAACCCTTGTGTGGTGTTTGGGTCTGTGGGACCCATTTTCAATGGTTAGCAAAAAGATTATGCTATTTATTATTATTTCAACCTCATATTCCTTGGCCTTTGCTCATTTTCTGTGAAGAACATATAACACATTTTAAATAACTTCACACTGTACAGCCCCTACACATTTATAAGTGTGGAGGTGCTGTGTCCCTTCACTTTTCTCCTCATACATGGCCTGCTGTTAGTGTGTGTGTATGTGTTTGTGTATGTGTTTGTATATGTGTGCGTGTATGTGAGGGTGGACAACATGGACAGGCTGCTGACTGGCTACAGCTGCTAAAGGAGAACCCTACGCTGGCCTCTTGTGATATTTTAAACATCTGGTATTTTTACATACATTGTTTATGGCAGTATTGATTTAAAAAACAATAATGCGGTGGGTCCACCAGACCCACCTTAACACCACACAAGGGTTAAATCACAGCCTTTTAGGGCTTCCGTAAGTAACATCTTTGAATGTCACAAGATTTAATGATCCATAAAGGCCAAATGTCATTGTACACGTACATGCGGACGTGAACGCACACGCTCACGCTCACATTCCAGGTTACTCAAACAAATGTTTCGCGAGTTAACTTGGGCTTATGAACCCATTAAAATACCATCCCAACTGAATAAGCCTATGGCATGTGTTACTATGCCATGCCAACAACCTCAACAATACAGCTCCATAAATAAATCATTATTCAAATAGCTTGTCTCATGTCTTGTCTCTGAAGCTTTTTTAAGCCTGTTATGTGCACGCGTGAGTCTCTCCGTGTGTGCGTGTGAAAGAGAGTGAGTTTCTAACCTGTTGATCCAAAAAACTCGTGGTCCAACACAGAGCCATACCCTGAGGGATTGAGTCTCAAATCACTGACAGTGAAGGGCTGCAGTGGAATATTCACAGTGTTTATGGGCCATTTCTGTGCCTGGACGCCTGCTCCACCATACCAGAAGATATTCTCCATATAAAAACAGTGCTGAAAAAATGAGCACATCCATAACATTGCAGTCAGCTCCTGTCAAATGCTATACGGCTGAAAAAAGGTTGCAGTAGCCATGAAAGATGTTAAATCCTAGAGTTGAACAATATGATAATATTTATCGTTATCGTGATGAATTACATCACTATATGTCACAATATTGTAGTGTTCCCTGCTATTAAAACAGGTTGCACGATTTATAGTGTTTTATTAAAGAGCTGTATTTGGCCATAGCTACGCCTTACACAAAGAGAGTTTGCTAACAGTTCACTCTAAGCCTAAGCTCTGCATCAGAGATGTTACAAAGGACGAGAACGGTCACTGTTTGAATCACAAACATGAATGGTAACACTTGTAACGCTCCCACTCGTTAGAGATCTGCGCAAACGCAGTACCCAGAGCAAGCTGAGAAAACATGTTTTTGTGTGTTACAGAACCAAACGCTACAAACTATGAGGTTTTTGTCAGATGCTATCAGTGATTTCAAATATGTTTTTGAAATGGTAATTTGACTTTCAGTTTCACATTTTTTTGGTCTCTCCTCATTCCAAGAGAAAGGAGTCTGGTCTTGTATGGCTGGAAATAACTGCCCAGCGGCGTTACAAAGATGGCTGCCAAGTGAATAGACGTTCCTTTAAGGACTTTGTAGTTTTTCTCTGAGGATTTGTATTGTGAAGGTGGGGCTAGTCAGAGCTGAGTGTAGACAGATGTTGGGGAGACAGTTATGTGTTCTTTGAGCCAAACGTTAAAAACGTTTTTAAAATGTAATTTGACCCCAGTTTTGGGTATTTTTGTCTCTCCCATTATAAGAGATTCTGGTCTTGTATGGCTGGAAATAACTGTCCAGCAGCATTGCATAGACGGCTGCTAAGTAAACATATTTTCCTATAAGTACTTTGGAAAAACCCAGTGAATAAATGCTTAACCTAGAACTAACATTATACATTCTTAAACACTCTAAAATGTGCAAATGATGATATGGTGGATATGGTGCATATTGTCAGTACTTACAAACCACCTCCCAACTGCATGTTTGACTACCAAGACAGCATAATTGGTCCAGTTTAATGGGATTTAGTGCAGCACAGTGTGTAAAATGTTGAATACAAATAACTGAATTTATAGTTTTTGTAGTATTTTTAAAATGTGGGCTTACTTTGATGGAACTTATGAGATGCCAGGAAAAATAAATATCATGGCATATTGTGTACAGCAGAAACTTCTTGAAGTATGGTGGACATTATGCCATATCGCCCACCTCCATCAAATCCCTATTTTTGGTCAGCTTACCCTCATGTCAACATGACAGTGCAGAGGCATCCACGTTATGTTGTAGCACTCCATGTGAGACAGCTCGTCCAGCTCCAAAACCATCCTCACCTCGACCTGCCCGTCCCACTCAGTGCAGAAACCGCTCGAGTTGAGCCAGCAACGATTCCTCGCAAAACGCACGTGCAGATCAGGGTCTCCTATCTGTCCAACAGAAACTTCCACGACCCTTTTCTCCTCGGAAAGCGTCTGAAACACTAGGGAATGCTTCCTGGACTCCCAGAAAATCCCCGTGAAGCGGCCCTGGAGAATCCAGTGATTGTGGGACTGATCCACCACTTGCCAGTAGATTAATCCAATGGTCATTACGAACAGGAGTCCTATGGCGATGCAAGCGGCTGTTCCTTTCCACGGGTCAGGTTCTGCTCTGTGCTCCGAGTCCCAGGACACTCCGGGGTAAGGGCACGGCTTCCTAACCACATGGTTGGAATGGACAAGGCAGAAAACGGTACAGCAGCTGTGTTTGCGAGGAACAACATGCGTTTGTGCGCTTTTTAAATGCAATTAGCAGAGAGCTGTTGCGCGTGATCTGAAATAGCGTTTGATGTAAAGAGAGACTCACCACATGCTGCTGAGATCGGTGCGGACTGATGAACAGAAAAGATGACCAGGCTCTTCCCATGAGAGGCGTGTGGGTCAGCTGCTTTACTCTGAGGCTGAGGGCCCACAGAATGGCGGGCTGCAACACTGCAGGCTGGCACTGGCCCAGATTCCCGTGTGGCTTTTTCAGGCTGCAAACTAATCAGGATCGATGTGGAAGCAACTGTGAACTCTTCTAGCTCGAATTCTCCCGTTCCACCTTAAATGGGACAGCAGTTAAATTCTGGCGTCTCAAACAAGAAGCTGGCGAATAGGAAGCCAACTTCAGCCTCGTGTAAGGATGAGATATTAATGCTTATGTTTGATCAGTTATGCACACCACGATGAATGAATTAAGCATTAGCGCACAAGAGAGAGCATGTTAACGCGAGGATCACAACAGCCGCGATGCTATACGTGAAAACACATGACCTGGAGTGATTTTATACAAGAATATGCGAAATATAGAAAAACCGAACAGAACAACTGCGTCCGCCAAAAAAGTAGTTCCTTTTGGCGTTTTGGGTAGAGCCATAAAGTTCAAGTATCAGTATCAGATTCAGCTCAGCCTTTTCAGTATTTGCCTGATTGTCCTGAATGTCGTTCAGGATGTTGTTCCAGAAGGTATGAAAAGCTTTTCACAGCCTGTCTTCTCTGCTGAACTGTATTCTGTTCATGTCTGGCTAATTCCAGTTTGTTTAGCTAGCTAGAAAGATTAAAATTTCATGTAGGCCTAATATCACACCCTTCTTCGGAATCTGACTAAATGATTACAGTCTAATGTAATCTAGAAGCATTTGTATGTAGTTAGCTAGCTAGCTACTAAAATTAGCGGTTAGCTGCGGCATAAAGTGAGTCATTTATTCTTGATAACACACGACCCCGAGTGTTCTATTGCTTTTATACAACAGTTAAATAAATAAAGCAATAAATTAATAAACTGGGCCGTGAACGTATGTTTTAATGTCAGCAGTTCCTTCCGCCAAATTATAGTTCCTTAACCAGCAGCTTGTTGCTACGTCAGAGTAACGAGCTCCGCTCACTCGCTGCACAGCGGGCAGTTCGTTCTCCAGCTCCACACAGACCAGCTGACAGTTTGGGAATTTAGTGTAATCTCATCTTCAGAGTCTGACCAAATCGGCTGTGGGTCAGATGTGATCTTAACAGTATCCATTTTCTGTTTGTGCGCAAAGTAAGAAGCAAAAACGTTCAAATGGCTTGAGCTCTCCTACAACTGTCAAAGTCGTTGCTTAGCAACGGCGTCTCAGCGGAGTGATACAGTGTCTGTGAAAAACCTGTGATGTTACGGCGAAATAACAGCACCGTTAGAACGCCTCTCAACCAATCAGCTTGCGTGGCCGGAACTAACTGTTGAACAATACTCAGCAACTGGTGCCCAGCGGAATAATACAGTAACAGTGAAAAATAACAGCATGGGGTGAACGCTTCTCAACCAGTCAGACTGTGTCATTCTAACCAACTGTTGCTTAATATACTTTATTGGAGCATCTGAGTCTTAAATGAGATGCTACCAGAGACGGGGAGCCTAGCATCTTTTTATTTCCCGTTATATCAAACACATGACTGCAAAGCGCCGGAGGGCGCCCGCGAGCAATTCGTCAATGAATGGGGTTAAAAGGAGCTAAACGGCTAAAAAGGGTACGTTAAAATAGTTTCTAATCACTCGCCCAGAACTTTACTTTAATTTTAGAAATTAGGATGTATTTCACAAAAAGCAAAGAAAACTTACCTGTATGCTTCTTTTTTCTACAGCAAACGGGTTTTGGGCAGCAGGACACTAACATTACTGCTACTGCATGAGTGCTGATTGGTTGGCGAGCAGAGCAGCTCATTGGCTGTTCGTGTTCACTGACGTCATGAACGTACATGAGGCGCTGTTTTAAACTCCAATAACTCGAGTTTAAAAGGATTTAAAAATATAACAGCAGTGCTAAGATGTTTTATGTTGTTCTGAGTTTAACATTAAAAATGTTTACGCATTTATAAACTGTGATTTTGCCCAAATGCTCCATTTTAACCCTTTCATTTTGGACTGCCTCAGGAGCGCCCTCTAGTGTTTGAGAAATCCAGAAGACATTACAGAGTGGGAATTCTCCTCCACAAGTTCTCTGATGCTACACCTTAGTAAAGCTTTGAAGATAGAGTTGTTCTTAATGATTGAAATTTGTACGCTGTAAACTTAAATTAGTTGACTTTACTAAAAAGCATGTAAACATATTGCCTTTAAAAAAAAGTAAAGTTACTTAACAGGTTAAATAACTTTGTATGAGTCACTTTTCTCATTTTCAGTGATCCACACTTCGGCAGCAAGTAAGGCTTTCAGGGCTAGTCGCTAAGTATTAGCATGAGGTAGGTTCGTTTTCAAAAGGCAAACTAACAGCCCAATCTCTCTACATTCAGTTTCAGTTAAGCTGGCAGTGCTCTTTCATGATCTGCTTACTGTTGAATTAGGTTAAATTTAAGCAGCCTAGTTAGGTTAACTTCTCATTTAACAACTCCAAATAATGTCACTTTACTCTATGAAATTTTTCAAACTCATCACCTTAACCTCAACACAGAACACAATCATGGTGAGAATAACAAAAACATGTAAAATGCATCCAAACTTACCATTTTAGCATGATGAATATGCTCTGACACTAAAATAATACCCTGTGAACAGAATGAATAAAATTTCTGAAAAATAAGGATTCAAATAATAAGACCAACAAAACAACTGAGAATGACTATTCAGTCTGTAGAACTTATCCAAATTAATTGATCTCAACTAGATCTACCTACACACTTAAAAATGATGGTTCTTCATGGGTTCTTTAGTAAAGAAAGTGGTTCTATATAGAACCATGAACACTGAAAGAACTACTTGCATGATTAAAGTGTTCTTTGCCTTGTGAAAGGGTTCTATATAGCACCAAAAAGGGTTCTTCTATTGTTAGGATGTCAAGCTTGTTACAATCAAAGAACCCTTTTTGGTGCTATATAGAACCCTCTTAAAACTGTTCTTTATAGAACCATCAACAGCGTAAAATCTGAAGAATTCTTTCACCATGAAAGAACCCTTCAATCATGCAAAATATTCTTTGAGTGTTCATGGTTCTATATAAAACTGGTTTCTTTACTACAGGACCCTTGAAGATCCATCATTTTTAAGTGTGTAAGTAACTAAGGATTACACAAGCAATTGCATTTCACTAGATTTGCATTAGTAAGTTTAAAACAAATGAGTAAACCAAAAAATTAAGTAAATTATGTGCAGTTGTTCTAATTTACAGTGTATGTTTCTGAGTATTTTCAAGCAATACTTGTACTAAAGTTCCATTTTAGTTCTCAGTTCTTCACCTTTGGAAGTTGGTGGATGGGGTGTTCTGTTGGTTTGGCAGCTAGACTTATTTGCTGTTTCTCACGCCTCTCTCTTTTTTCATTTTTTTACACCAGAAGGATCCCAGCAACAGATAAATATCACACAAAAACTTCCTGGATTTTCTAAAATGTTAGACTGCACCTATAGAACTCTATAGATATTTTTGACCTGATAATTTTTAAATAAGAATGTTTTTGGTTCACTATTTCTCTTTCACTAATATTAGGATACTGTTGCATTAGTTTTAGGCTACTGTACCAAACTCTAATGACATAATTATAAGCTAAATAATAAACTAAGTCCAATAAATTTTATTGAACACAAAATTTGATGTAGTCCTGCTGTCACAAGTCAAATATTGTCTAATAAAAGTGATCATATTCAATTTAAGCCAGCTATTTTTATTCTAAAACATCCAGCAAGGTGCTATTCATCTGTTTTTGGGATCCTGCTGGTCTAAAATAAAATGCAAAAATGTTGGTATAATGACATTGTGGAACATGAGAAGACTCAACATGATATAATATTGTATCTGTTTTATATGATCTAATTCCAATGCCTGAAACCAGTCAGGTGCACCTGCTTATTAGGAAAACCTCCAGACCAGATGCCATCGCCAAAGCAAACACCTGACCAAGGAATGGTGCAGGAAGAAAGAGGCTACAGGAGACCACCCAGATCACTTTCCCCCACCTTGCAGCTCTGCATCAACCTGCTGGAGACCTACAGCCCTTGGCAGGAAAACGGACACAGGATCGGCTTCTAAGTATTCCCCCTCTCAGCGCCTCTTCTAATCAACCGGAGAGATCATGTGTCTAATGGCCCAAGAGTCTTCAGGAGACATTAATTCTGTATGCAGTTCTCTGTTCCTAAGTCCTCTTTGAGAATATAAGAACAGATGAGACAAGATGAGCTGTCAAAGGGTGCTTGTAGAGCAGTAGTGTGTATAGTGCAGGATACAGCCACAGTATAGAAGTACAGTCTCAGAAGATATATTAATATAAATATTGCACTTATGATGTAAGAAGCAGCCTGCAGAAGATTATTGAGCCCAGATCTGCGAAGCATTAAAACCATTTGCTAGAACAAAAGCAGGCATCTTTTCCTGATCGCAATCAGTAGGTCTAATCATTAAAGGTCAGCACATTTTACTGACAGCTTCCTTTTCTCATGAGTAAGCTATGCAAGCTGAGTATTTCTCTGTTACTCCGTTTCTTTTATCATCAGTGCCATAATTCTTTGTGTAAGATTTAAGTGAAACGCTCAGTGTTAGAGGGCCATATGGAAAGGAAGGTCTTCATTTACAGAGTGTTAAACTGGCTGTCATTCCAGGCTCTATAAATAAAACCTGACTGCTTTCTGGCCGGCAGGACAGCCGTAGACCGTGGGAACATGAAACAGAACTCAAAATAAGAAAACCTCTCTCTGTTTCTGCTTCTGTTTCTTTAAATCTTTCAACTTTTATTAGTTTTTTTTTTCTCTTCCACACATACAGAAACCTTATGTAGTAAAATAATATAGGACACTATAATGTAGAAGATCCGTTATTTGACTTTTATACAGATAGTCTAATAAGAAAGTTTACTATATATGCTAAATGTTACTATATTACAAGCGAAATGGTCATTAAGTACAAGATATTCACTTTTCAGCACCAGAAAATGGCAGAAAACATATTTAACAGAAAATTACACAGAGGCCTCAATAACTAAATATAATATCAAACATGCCAGTATTTAGTGTGTCCATTCTTTGCCTTTATTACAGCTTCCATTCTTTTCAGGAGGCTCTCAGTTTGCTGGGACATTTTTCCACACCTCCAAAGTTCAGTCTTAGAAGTTGGTTGCATTTTCTGCTTCTCATGATCCAAATAATCCAAACACATTTTGTGATCTTGAGGTCTGGACTCTGTGGTGGTCAGTTGATTGTTCTGAGAACACCAGCAGCTTCTTTGTTTGATTTGCACTTTGTCTCCTTTTCTCGGTAAGAGCTTCCTGACAGCTACACATCCTTTCAGACCCATAGCGCTGAGTTGTCTCCTCACAGTGGAAGGATGGACAGAAACACCTGTGAATGT